ATATACAGAGAGACAAAACACTGACTGAGTTATATTTTTACTTTACCACACAGACAAGAGTTCAGCAGAACTGGTAAAGAAAAGCAGGAGTTAGAGTGTGTGCACGAGTGTTCAGATATTCACTCTCTATCACGACATAATGTGTCTCTATCAACAAACTCTCTACAAATTATTCCTTCACACTACATCTGGAGCTTCATTTTTCATCCCCCCCCCTTTTTCCCTTCGATCCAGCACGTTTCCATCGTCTTTTTTTTCCCTCTCTGCCTTATTCCGGTCACTGACATCCACAGCAGGCTGCTTCCCACTCTCTCTTCCCCAGGCGAAGAGCCTGCTATCTGGTGTAGCAAGCGATGGGGGGTGGCTGTGATTGCCCAGTCTAGAAGGAAAGGTCCAGGCACTGCAGGGCCCCTATTACCCAGCCGGGGGGTATGGAGACGGGGCAGAGCTGGCCACTGCTGAGCCTAGGTGTCCGGTTCCTAGAGCTGCCAGTCAAAACTTCGCCCTCAGCTACTTTAACCAAATGGAGGAATAAAGGGAGACGACAGGTTAAACAACCTCAGGCATATGGTGAAGAAAGTGAGATTTAAAAGAAAATATACAGAGGGTTTTGGGGTTTCATATAAACATCGGGACAGTGAGGAGAAATTAATTTGTCTATTGTGTGGTAACAATAACATTAGATTAGAGAAATATATTTACCGTACAATGCACTACTACTGTAGGTTATATTTATAGCAGAGCTTTTGAAAGGAGCAGGATGTGCATGAAGACATTTATAAGTGCGCAGTTATTTATAGCATCTACCAGAATAGGTTTAAAACAAGTGAGCTCCTTTGTTTGTCTGACTGGATTCATGTTTCTCCACATTATTCCAGTGTTCATCAGCAGATCCTACAGATTTGTAAATTATGATAATTTTGGGGAAGATGTGTAATTTTAGAATGGTTGCATTTTGTGGAGGAAATTGTTTGTGTGAACTTTTTGTATTGTTTGTCTGTGAATGAGTTTCTGTTTCTGAGCTTTCACAGTTCTAGCAGCTTTTCATGATGAATGAAGGGAAGTGGTTGTGTTTTTTATTAGTATACAAAGATGAATTATTAAATAGCTTCTTTAGCACAGTCGTACACAGCTGTGTCAGAGAAAAGAATCTGTGTGTGTGTTTTGAAAGGGATTTTGAGCCTGAGAGAGATGGAGAAAGATTTTGATCCTTTTGGGAGAATTTGCTTGTTGCACCAAGGCCATTCAGGTTTGATTGATGATGAAATTTTACTGTGTGCATTATGCAAATGCTCTGGTCATTTCTAATGTTTAATGTATTTATTTTTTGCTTTGCACACTCAGTGTCTGTTTGTTAATTTTGCATGAAGTTCCTGGATCTACTCAAAAAGTTAGGATATAAACCATTCAAACGTTTCCATGTGAGAAGTTGAAATAATTGAATTGTTCGATTGCGATGTTATTGTGAGGAGTTGCTTGCATTGATATTCAGATGCATTTCTTTCATTGTGTGTGTGTGTGTGTGTGTGTGTGTGTGTGTGTGTGTGGGTGAAAAGAATATGAAGCACTGACTGCACAGTGCGTGAGAATGTGTGCGGCGTGTTGTCCGACTGGCTCCACTACAGTCTCAGCAGATCTGCATACACAGTCTTGATGAGCTGTTGAACTTCATATTCACATTAAACATAGTGAGGAGCTTGAATCCTGAATTTCACACACACACAGAAATAAAACAGTTTGATTGTTGATTACTCAGCTCTCTGTTTCTCTTATCATAGATCATAATTGGTACACACAGCAGTAAATCTGCCTTATACAGTCATAGTCTCAGTTTCAGTTTCTAAAGTTTCCCATCAAAGCTGACTGTTGAACAGCAATGCATTTCCACACAGAGAGTAATTATTTTTCAAATCTTCTTTGCTCTTATTTGAAATAATGGATTTCTTGCACTTGAATATGATAAATATGTTCTGCAAGTAAAGATTGAGCATTAGCCATGGTTTGCATTTTCAGCATTTCTTAAAACTGCTGCTTAGGTTTTATCAGCCTTGAAAAATCTTTGTGCTTCAAGATTGAAATTATAAAAAAAGATCAAATATTATAAATATACTATCGCTGGAAAATTTGTATTAATTCTCCCAGAATTATCTTCATTTTTCAACAATATTTCACAAATTGCTTTCTCACAATAAATTCAATAGTGCTGTGAAATAACAAGCTTCCATCATTTGCACTTTCACTTTCCCACAGTTATATTCACTCAGGCACCACAATAATCTGCTGTCAGAGGCTTAAGAGCCCTGGCAACACAAGAATACAGGTTTTTAGCAAGAGGTTAATATTGAGATGGTACTTTTCTTGTTTGGTGATGAGAGGGGAGGTATAGAGGTTATGGTTTTGGCAGATGGGTGCAGAGAAGGTTAGGGATGGGGCATATGAGTCTTTTGGGGTAAGAGAGAGGGTATTGGAGCTTGGAGTGACAGGGTTAGGGACTCGGGGTGTGGGGTGTGTGAGGTCAGATGCTGGGGTATGGGCGTCAGTGTGGAAGGGTCAGCGTTGATGCGCCGCAGCTGAAATGGTACATGACCTCAGGCTCTGGGATGATTGGCGTGGAGGAAAGAGGCTCTGACGTCTCGTAGTCTTCCTCCTCGTCGTCCTCATCCACAGCTGGAGGCCTCAGAAAAGCCTTGAGGGTCAGGGTATGGAACCTCTGCCCAACGACACCAGGCCTGTATCTTTTGTTGAAGCACAACCTTATTTTTACGCTTTGTTCCACGGTGGTTATGATTCTGCATATGAATGTGTTTGAGCGTTGCTTCCAGTTGCACATATGGTCGGCGTACGTTCTTAGGACTTTCCCTCCATGCGGGTTCAGGATGGGGTCGTGAATGTATACATCCTCAACCCATGCCGCCCTCACGTTTTTGTCTCGCTTTTCTTTTCCTAAGGGTTTCGTCTTTTCTCTCTCTCATCAGCTTTTTGTCATCCTCGTTTGGAACTTTGAGCTCTACATGATCCCGCTGGCGTTGCTTCTGCCGTTGGCCTGGAACTACATCCTCATCGCTTCGGGGAAGGACACCAGGCAAGATGTGGTGAGTAACACATCGCTTCTCGATATCCCTCCGCCTTTCTTTCATTTCACTGTAAAAGCCCCCTTTCGTAGACAATGCAGGGTTAACACTCAGACACCATTGTCTCGTGGAGACGTTTACGCGCTCATCTTATTTACGACGTCCATCACGTTTACATACAATTCATCCCTGATGAACGAGAAATCAAAATACTTCTTTTATAGAAACAGCATAAAGGTAAAAAACTAATTTACAACATATCTTTTATTAAATTGGAATCATAAACTTGGAGCAAATTGGAATTAAATTTAAAAAAAATCTTTGTGCTTCATTTTTTTTTTTACTTACTCCATCTCCCCGTTGAGGTGCTGCATTCTCGGTGCAATCTCACATTTCTCACTTTGCCTCCTTTCAGGCAAAGAAAAAGGAGAAATAATAGGCTGTCACCTTGAGCTACGTTACGCCACTTACCTGGTAGTATATTTATTTAATTCATTTATTTTTATCTCTTATACCAATTAAATGATGTCAAAGCAATGTCATGGAGAAACAGACATGTTTTAATCATGGCCAGGCACATTTGGAGAGTAGAGAGTAAAAACGAGAGTGAGCGAGAACTGGACTACGGAGTGAGCGTGAACAACGAAGTGATTAATTTTAATAAGTACCTTTTTCCCAGACTCCGTTGGAAATAACCAGTTAACAGACCTTAGATTTTCTTACACTCGCTCACCCTCTATATGTGTGTATTTATCTCTTCATAAGGATTCTTGGAGTTTGATTGGATTTGGAGGAGATATTAGATTCAGTCATTACAATGAAGCAAAACTCATAGCTGTGTGTCATAATATTGCACAGAAAATGGAATTAGCTGTGAACTGTACATTATTACTTACAACATTTAATTTGGTAAGTCTTCAGAGCTGAGCATCTCTTTTTATAAGCCTCTATTTCCACATGTAATGTTGATCTGTAAAAGAGTTGCAAAATGCAAACCGAGAACCACAAGCCTTGTATTACTTCACATCAACCCAGTCAATATACTTTACGTTTATAATAATTCAGTATATTTGACTTGATATAATGATTTGAGTTAAGAATATAAGGTTTTTAAAAGTAAACAGGTTCATAGTCAAAGTAAAACCCTTTATTTGTGAATGACACTTCAGAGGGGTCTTTCCCCTCCTGTAGATGGCGACATTGCCTGCTTAAAAATAATCACTCACTATTAAGACAAACCCTGGCATGATGATCTGTCCCCACATACCTGCTGCTTGTATTTATCCAAACCTAATGATATTCCTTTCCCATGCACATCCTCATAATGTGCCACTCACTTCACATACAAATAAGTACATGTAACTCCCACTTCATGTAAAATTGCTTTTCTCCGCTACTTGAAAGGGACCATTGTGTCTCAAGTACCTCAGGAATTGGTTGGAACATTAAGACATGGTGATACTGTTGATACTTGCATGGCAAGTGCCTTTTTGTGAGATAACACGTTTACGCAAAGTTCTCCCATGCTCAGAGAAAAGAGGAGATATGGACATTTACTGTGCTGTCTTAGGATCTTGTAGTTTCACTGTTTTGAATATCTAATATTTGTTGTAGCGTCACGATGCTTGACTCACGGGCAATTTTACATCCAGACTTCCAGAGGAATCCTGGAGTCACTGATTCAAACGTACAATTTGAAAACCTATAACTTATTTCAATTTCTTGTTGACTCTCTTGTAGTTAGTCTTTTGGATTTCTCTAGTTACAGTCCAACCCAAAGGAATCTGCCTTTGGAGTTTGTTTAAATATCATCATCTTCAGAATGTGGTTTGAGGATATGTGGCCTGATCACCAAGGAACATTTTATGTAGCAGTGATAGAAATTATATGATATCTGGTAATATCTTTGATTAAATATCTCCACTGTCTGGATTGGACAGTATTGACTGGATGTGTGTGTGTCAGTGTTTATATTGACTAAGAAGGTATGTGGAGAAATGTACGTGTGGTTAGACAGCCAGAGGCAAGAGAACGGGACAGCAGCAGCTTATACAAACTATAAGAGACGTGTCAATGTGTGCATACTCAAGTTTCCAGGACTACGTGCAAACATTATTTGCAGCAACATATCTGATGAAAGTGAGATTAATTGTCAAAGATTACCACCAATAATGCTCCTTGTCTTGCCGCTGTGACAGTAACACGGAAAAGTACAGAAAAGCACAGGTGACACAAAGAAGATTCTCTGACAATCATCGTCTCTGCGCCGCAGTCCCACCACCTCGGGATCGGTGAATGCGACGAACCCTCTCTCCTTCCTCGATCATCAACTCTCTGCCTCCTTCAGTGTTGAGATTACTTCCCTGTGTCAAATTGGAATATGTACAGTAAAACTAATGTGCGGTGGTGTAAGTGTTCATTATTTTTCCTGCATTTTTGTTTGCAAATGCTGTACACACACGTTCAGACAAAAGTTTCCCCCGAGTCTTGTCCCTGTTTGTTTTGAGACAGAGTTTCCCAGTCAGCGGGGATGCAGGGGGGTGGGAGCATACAGTATTTGCGTTCTTTGCTTCCTCTCCAGGTCCCCCGGATTCATCTTCCGAGTCTTTATCAAGCTGAAGTCATGGACGACTCACTGTTTCCCCCTCGCACTTGGCAGGGAACAGAGAAGAATAGAAAAGAAAACAAGGGAAAGGGGGCTTTCTAATTACTTTAAACAACACACCAAATTAAAGCATTGTGCTGAGCCGAGCAAGGGTCAGCATCCGGAGCGCTGTGGTTTTCCAGCAGTCTGGGGTGAGGGTAATGCCAAAGGAATCTCCGCTGAACTCACTCTGAAGGGTGAAACAGAGAGAGCGGGAGAGAGAGAGAGGGGGATAGGCCAAGGGAAGAAAGAGAGAAAACAAAAGTATACACTAGAGTACAGACTTCTTAATGAAGGGAAGGGTCTTGCTTCATCATGATGGGTTCAAGGTGGGGATCCTTCTCCGATTTTTACACCACAACCACAGTCCTTAGCGCTGTCGATAGCAAATAAACAAACGCGGTGTTTTTTTACATGCTGTAATTCAGCACTCAGGGTCACTGACTGTTGTGTGGTTACACGCTGCTTTGCAAACAGATCCCGGATCAGAGCTCCTAACCCTCGCCCCAACCTTGACCGCTACCTGCTAAGCAGTCAGAGCCTCCTCAGAACAGCGATTTAAAGGAGGCGACGCAGCAGCAGGGTCGCCGACCTCCTCTCTTATCATGTATCACTCGGACCCATGAACCCTGACTCCTCAACACTGTTCGCTGACCTGTGTGTTACGCTGCAACACGCTGAATGAAACAAACAAACAAAGAAGATGCCCTTTAATGCTCCTGAATATATGCAGAGGATGATCCAGCTTCTACTTTGACATTCAAAGCCGATAATATACTATCAAGTGAGTCTCACCTATTGCTCGGACTGGGAGAAGCGCTTTAATGACACAACCATCTCCTCTCCATCTTTATCTTGTTTTGAAACCTGAAACAGTTTGGAGCGTCAATCCATCCCAAGCCTGCTGCAGAGGAAGCTGCCAGCAGGCTGGACTCGGTCAATCAGAGGACAGGCGGCTGTGCTGCGAGAGGAAAAAGGCTGCAAGGCGTGCGTGTACACGCGTGTGTGTATATTTCCGTAGCAGCATGTCATGTTCATGTGTGTGTCTGCCTGCGTGAGTCTATATGATGTGCGTTGAGATTAACAAGCAGGGACACATCCCAGTAGAACTCCTTCCTTGCTGTTCAGTTGGCCCAAAAAGGTCCGTACCAGATGTTATAAAGGTGGTAATTTCAGTGCAGGCTGTCGTAGAGGGCTCATACGAAACTGGTGATGTCTCTGTCTCGCACAGAATGATGGGCAATTAGGCCTCGTCATACTGGAGGACCATCCTCTTTATGCCATACTTTAGTCCATTACATAGATTCACCCACTGGATCTGCCAAGCCATTACAGAAGAGAAGACCTTAATGGTATGAAGATACTTCAGAGCAGATAGAGCTGACCACAGCTCTTCATCCTGATTCATAGCATTTCAATAAAAGCAAATATATAAGTAAGTCATCCTTAAAAATAAAGCAATATTTACTACTGATTTTTATTAGTTCTCCATCTACTTCAACTAGTACTAGTACCAGCTTAATCTTCACGTCCCTGACTGTGACACACCCAGTATGACAGCAGTATATTGTTCATTAGTGTAAAAAGAACCTGGTAATAATATCTGATCTATTTGAACATTGTACTTCATTGCCAATTTTATCTTTTCTATTTTCTTCCTGATTTTGTATCGCAACCCCCCCCCAACTTTTCTGCATCTCTAAACACACTGTGCCGTGACATCTGCCCTCATTAAGAGACACACACAATGAACGTAGAGAAGAGTAAATATTAGGAGAGCTGCAAGGAAAAAGAGGAATCGCTGCCTATTATACCTCAACTCCTGCAGAAAGTCACTCCTCCACGTTTCCCCCCCATAAAACTGCAACTCTGGAAAGAAATGGAGAACGAGAAAAGGAGATGGAATGGGAGCAGAGGAAGATGGGGAGGCATTCAGAGGGAGGCAGCGACAGAAAGACGGAGGCATAGGCAAGCAGCGGTGGATGGCAGGCACTCCTCAGTGCAGAGTCAGACATGGCAGTTGGTGACAGGTGACAAAATCAAAAGGTCATGTCACTTTTAACTGGGAGCGCCTGTGCCCCACTGATTTCCCCCGTGCCGCCCCGGCATCACCACGCTCCTCTCTGCTCCTCTCTGCTCCTTTCTGCTCCTCGCGCTGTCTCTCTGTCTCTGCTAAACTGGCAGATAGGATGGCAGGCTGGCAGGCAGAAAGACAGGCGACGGGCATAGTTTGAAGCGGGACGGGAGCATCGGGAGCATCAGGAATGCCACTGCGGAATCCTCCCAGCCTCCCTTTTCATCATGTTGTCTCTCTTTCACTTTCTTTCCCTCCATTTGTCTGACTCCCTTCATCACACTGAACCTTTGTAACTGTCTG